TGGATAGATGAATAGATTAGATAGATAGATGATAGATGATAGATAGATAGATAGATAGATAGATAGATAGATAGATAGATAACAGACAGATGAAGAGGATATTAATCATAGGAATTGGCTCATGCAGTCATGGTGGTTGAGAAATCCCATGATTTTCCCTCTGCAAGCTAGCAAACAAGGAAAACTGGTAGTATAATTTAGTCTGATTGAAAGGGCTGAGGACCATGGAAGCCAATGGTATAACTCACAGTCTGAAGCAAAAGGCCAGAGAAGGAGCAGAGGGGGATCACTGATTAAGTCCTGGCATCCTAAGACCAAAGAACAAGAGCTCTGATGTCCAAGGGCACAAGATGGCTGCCTCAATTCAGTAAGAGAGTGAGAGATTTCACCCTCCCTCTGCCTTTTTGTTCTATTTGATTCTCAATGGATTGGATGGTGCTGTGCCCACTTTGGTGAAGGCAGATGCTTTTTACTCAGTCTATTGATTCTAATAGAAATCTTTTCTAGAAACATTGTCACAGACGTACTAAGAAATAAAGTTTTATCATCTATCTGAGCAACTCTTAGCCCAGTCAAGGTGATACATGAGATTAACCCTCACAGAATTCAGACTGGAAAGGCCTGGAAGGATTCTTGGTGTGCCATAACATTCTTCTGGCCATGTTGAATCGGATGTTAGTGAGCAGAGGCAGTGAGTTTTCACTCTTGACCAGCATCAGGTCAGTAGTGAGGTGGCCCTCAGTAGTCACAGTAGAGCAGCGCAGGGGTTGACTTTGAGCAGCGAACATCTAAGACAGCAGGGAGTGTAGTCTAGATTGACCTTTGAACCCCATCTAAGATGGGAAAGAGGCAGAAGTGGCATCAGCGGTACAAATCAGCTTGCCCAGCAGAACTCATAGTTCACAATTGTCCTCAGCAACATGCATGTCTGACTGGTGGCCAGAAAGAGGCCTGAGTCAAAGAATCTGACCATCTTGTTCTGGTGTCACATGAAGCAGGATATTGGGAAAATTCTCAGAAATACATGATGGAGCTTCTATGTAGTAGTAATTTATAGCAAGGAAGTACATGGGGCCTTGTGCCATTATTATTTGAGTAAAGAAAGTATAACTTTATTTGTATTTGTAGGCTGGGGAGAAACATAGTTATATAGGTAAGTAATTAAGATATTTTTATTTGGGAAAGATATTTCTATTTGGGATCTTTTAGTTAATTTTTCCATACTCTAATAACACCTTAAAATACATTTCTTAAGAACTAGAAAGATAGGCACTCATTTTTAATTTCTCAATAGAGAAATAAAACTTAAGAATATGATGCCAAAGTTAAGTTTCTAGAAAATCAATTAAATTAAAACTTAGAAAAAAACAAGTGATTATAAAACTGATTTTATTGTCAGGGTGTCCCAATTATATTTATCAGAACACTTAACTTCTGTTTGCGAAAGTTTTTGTAACATTTAGTTCCAAAATGGTTTTTGTATTTTAGAATTAAAATAATTATTTATTTTTATGTTTGGCCCCTGTGTTTCAAATCATAGACTCTCAAATATTTCTTGCTTTGATGTAAAGGACAATGTCTAGCATTTTAAAAGTATTGTGCTTTACAAACTATTCTCTTATTATCATTTTCTTTCATCTTATAATGACCCTGTGATATAATTACTCTGTGATCATTTCATTTTTATTATCATTATATTAGAAGAATTTTTTACATATAAAAAGGATCAAGAAAATTGAAATTTTTCTTAAGATTAGTGAAGTACTGATACTCAGAGACCAATTATTCACATCATAAAACTCTCCTTTGTTTTACAAAAGTCTTCAGAGTGTTATTTTTACAAATGGGGAGCTTTCCACAAATATCTTAATATTGCAAAAAACATCATAGGCTATATTTTGGGATCCATATTGTTTAAATAAAGTGAAGACAATTATACATTTGCATAACCTTCCATTGAAAAATGTCTTTTAAGTAATGGGACTCAATTTAAATATAAAGATTTAGAAAAGAAGCATGAATACACCTATGAGCTTTATCTCTCTGATTGTACGTAACAAGAGAAATTTTTAAACAAATTTGGTAAAGTTAAAGTTTAACTGTCTAAATTATTAAGAATTAAAAGTAGGTTTCATTAAAGCTAGAGCTCTGCATACAAACCAAAATGGAGAATTGAAGCCAAAAAGAAGGCATCTCAAACTCTAAAATTTATTTGGTAATGGTCTCAAAATTGTGATCAAAGTAATTTCTAAAATTTCAAAGTAATTTCACAAATGCATATTGGATATTAACAATGTACTAAGCATTGGGCTAGATCAAAAAATACATTATTTGGGAATATAGACAGTTCAGAAATGATCATTTGGTGAAGGAAAAGAAAGCAGTGAAAGAAGGTATAGAATAATGAGGAGGTGAGAGAGTGGATACTATTTGGTAAAGTGCAAACCAGGCAGGGCTTTTGCTAAAGAAGTGATACTTAAAAAAAGTGAAGACACCATAATTTAATAACAAGAGTGTTGGATGTCCATTAAATAAAGGAAATCTCACCATTTGTGACAGCATTGGTGGACCTAGAGGGTATTATGCCCAGTGAAATAAGTCAAAGAGAAAAACAAATAAATACCATATGATTTTGCTTAAATGTGGATTCTGAAGAACAATAGAAACAAACAAAAATGAAACAGACAAAGAGACCAGACTGGTGAAATCAGAAGAAAGTGGGGTTGGGGCACTGGGTGGAAGAGGTGGAGGGATTATGAAGTACAGATAGGTAGTTACAGACTAGTCACAGCAAAATAAGTACATCATAGGGAATATAGTCAACAACCTTGTCTAACTATGCATGGTGCCAGGTGAGTAAGAAAGTTATCAGGAAGACCAATTTGTAAAGTATATGATTGTCTAACTACTATGCTGTACAACTCAAACTGATGCAAAATAATACAGAAAGTAAACTGCAATTGAAATATTTAAAAAGTAAATTATTTTAAAAGAAGAATGAGGAAAAGACCCTCAGCAAAAACCAACTTAGTGCATTCAGAAAATATTAAGAAGGCCACATGAACAGGATGGGGTAAGTGACAGAAAGTGACAAATGAAGTGGGAGGGCTTAACTAGACATGTAATAGAGAACTTGTAGAGCATTCAGAGTATGATATTTTGCCACTGAAAAGCTTGGAGCAAGGACAAGAAATGAACTGAAGCATATTTGTGTTCTCTGAATTCTTTGAAATTGATTTAGAAATTTACATAAAGCAAAATGGGAAAAACCTTAGTGTGTAGATCAATGTCTTTTTACACATTTGTATAACATCACCACTACTCAGAATTATGTCTTTAATCAATGTAGGGAGCTGGGGAGAATTAAAACACAAAATAAGAACATGAAGATGAGTTAGGAAGAAATGGTTATAATTTATGTACAAGAAATAGGGCAGCTTGGAACCAGATGATAGTTTTTTGAAGATGTGAAACATGGAAAGTTAGGAATTGGAATTTACATTTCAACTTAGAGCCAACTGACACGTTTTGCTGTATTGGATGCAGGTGTGAGGAAACAAGAAGTATAAAGGATGACTGCACAGTTTTGGTTCTGAACTGTGATAGCAATTGCTGTTGTTGAGACAGAGGAGGAGTTGATTGAGGGTAAAAGATATCAAGGGTTGAGTTCTGGGCATGTTGCCCTTGAGCTGTCCATTAGAATCCCTGGAGTCTGAAGCCACAGGGGGAGGTTGGAGAAAAGTGCCCATAGAAAGTAGGAGTAGGTCAATCAGAGAAAAGAAGAATCAGCAAATGTCTGTGTAAGAAAAGCCAGGGGAGTAGCAGGCAAAATAGGATGCTGTGAAGTTTGGAGAAGCCACAAGTATGCACAGGCAATTCTCTGTGGGAGAAAGAGGGACAATGTCAGGGGCTGAATTGTGTCCCACCAAATTATATGTTGAAGTCCTGCCTCCCTGTACCTCAGAATGTGACTATATTTGAGATAGGGTCATTAAAGAGGAAATTAAGTTAAAATGAGGTCATTAGGAAGGTCCCTAATTCAATATGATGCTGTTCAAACAAAGAGCAGAGATGGCCATCTGTAAGACAAGGAGAGGTCTCAGAAGAAATCAGCCTTGCCAACACCTTCATCTCAAATTTCTAGCCTCTATAGTCATGAGAAAAATAAATTTCTATTATTTAATCCACCCAGTCTGTGATATTTTGTTATGGCGGTGTTACCAAATTCATACAGGAAACATGAAAATTGATGGTTCTTTTCTGAAAAGTCCAAAGAAGAGAAAGGGAAATGTCATTCTCAACCAGACATATTTACATATTCCCTGATTTTCCTTGCATCTATAAAATAGTACCATACACTTAAAACCAGTTGCAAGGGCCCTGGCTGGTTTTGGTGGCTCAGTGGGTTGAGTGCTGGACTGTGGACTGAAGGGGTTGCCAATTTGATTCCCACCCAGTCAGGGCACATGCCTGCATTGCAGGCCAGGTCCCCAGTAGGGGGCACGCAAGATGCAACCACACATTGATGTTTCTCTTTCTCCCTCTCTCCCTCTTTCTAAAAATAAATAAAGTCTTAAAAAACAGTTATATGGTATCCCAATGTGGTACCCACATATATTATTGGGTTTAATGTTAACAGAAACCATAGCAATTTTATTACTGAATCGTGTGACTAACAACTAGTATAGGTGAACAAAGCTTAAAAATTGAGGTAGAATATTAAGTGCTGGGAGATAGTTCCTAGACTTACTTTTAGAATGAAAGGAAAGGAATATGACCTGAAACCAATATGTTTTAGCAAAGACTGCTATTCTTTCCCAGTATCCATTCTCCCTTTTTCCCCTCCCACGTACTTACTCAAGTAAGTTTTAGCTAGAATACACAGAACCTCCCTTGTGTCATGTAGTTAAGTTTGGCCCAATGAGATATAGAGGAAAGGGCTTCCAAAATGCATCCTTAGAGAGACATATACCCTTTAAACCCTTTCCTCTTTCCTACAGTTTGGACTGTGGACATGATGGCTAGAGGCTTGGCAGTCCTGCGGTAGAATGCCACCTGCTGAGTATGGCGAAGAAACAAGAAAGAAGTGTGGTCCTTGATGCCGTGAAGCAACAACCAGTCCTAGAAATAGACTTCTATCTTGTCCATCACCGTTATTTTTTTCTGTTACTCATAATCAAATAATCTTACCTATGTATCATTAGAGGCAACTTTTTAGTAGTATAAATGAATGCAATACAATGAAAGATCCTGTTTCATTTCTCATCAAGGTTTATTTTGATCAAACACTGAATTCCAGACTTCAAATCTGGGCTCAGATAGTGCTACAGCTTGCACATTACAACACTCCATGGGGTCTATGGGAACGGCACTGCTAGGGTTGTACAGGACTGAGTGTAATGATCCCTGGTTAACATGAATAGAACTTCAACTCTCCATAATGATATAAATTGTGCATTTTGAAATTGTTATATAGAAAACAATAAACATGTCTATAATAGTTATTTGGCTGAATTGGCTTTTTTATTAATCAGATGTCATCTGTTTACCATTGAAATACCATAGTTCATGTATGTGTGGAATGTTACCCAATCTACAAACTTTGCTTTGAACACATGTGGACTGTGAATGTCCTATAGTAGCTGTGAGCCCCAGCCCCAGGGTCCAGGACACAGCTATGAAAGCTACTAACCATGTATTTGAACTGTGACAACACTTAAGTTCTCATAAAGTGAGTAATTTAGGGTAGCATTTTAAGTACAAGAGCTTTGAAATCAGAGAGACATGTTTTAATTTCTTGTCCACTTAACCCAACTAAGAATTAGGGCCGCTTTAACCCTCAATGTCCTCCTATTTAAAATGTGGATTCTAATAGTTGAGAGAATCAAGTGAGATTCACATACAAGCACTTAATACCAAAGCTGCCAGAGAGTAAGTACCTAGTGCATGTTAACAGTTATTATTGGGTGTTCAACAATGTTGTTAGTGATTCAGTGAATGACAATAGTACTTCTATATTTTGCAGATGAATAGACTGAGACAATTTATGTCCCTGGATGACTGTTCTACTTTTGCCAACTAACAGAAAAGCCCATGCTCTTTCCCTTAAACATCACAGGGAAGCAAATTCTGAAGGCAAGATTTCCTGTATGAGGCAGCTGTTGTAACAAAATTGTTGCCATTACCATCTCCTAGAATTTTGTTTTTCTGGTACCTGCTTTATGTAGCAAGACTACTTACTGCCTATATGCTTTTAAACAAATATGTCTATAACAGATACTGAAATAATGTGTTTTATGTTGCAAGTATAATTTTAAAAAAACAAATGATCTCAGATGAACAATTATTTCAAACAATTTTCCAAGATTTGAAGAGTTTTTAAATTGGGAACATTTTCTTTACAGATATTACATTGCTACCTCACCAGAATGCTTCAGTAGTTCTTTTTTTTCCCCCAGCAAGTAAAATACTCACAAAATATAATCTCTCAGTCAGGGAAATATGTACCACACATGGTAGACAAGTGCATTTTCTTAACAGGTTTTCAGGGGTCAGATTTCTTTAATATTAGGTCAAGGTTACAGACAGAGTTAGAAAGGACTGGATGTTGACTGGCAATCATTATCATGGTATTACAAACCATGTGCAAAAATCAGGAATAAAGTTTGGTACTATAAAATTATTTCCTGGAATATTAAAAAATTATATTCATGACCACGAAAACTTAAATGTATACTTTGATTATGATTCTACTCATTTCAGTTTCCACATTCTCAGACACATATATATAGATTATAGGTATCAATATAGATATAGATGCAGATGCGTATTCACATATCCAAAATTAATTTTTGGACCAAAATTCATCTTAGCCAAGTATACTCAGTATGAATCATCATCCTCAAAAAATCTTATTTTCTTTTAAATAGAGTCCATTCTTGCATGAAGTATATTCTCAACAAATGGTTTTCAAGCAAGCAAAGAATCAAAATTCAAGTATTTCTTACTGGGGGAACTTACAGTCTTATGTAAAACAAAAGATTCTGCTTTATTCTTAAATAAGTGTCACTGATAATACATATAGGTCTATGGTAAAACAAAAAACTTTTATATCCATCCCAAATCATTTCCACATTTTAGAAACAGTAATGTTTAGTCACCTCTGGATGTGGTTTTTACCCTCTCTCAAAAACTGTACTATTATTAATATATTAACTTTTGGCTTATTAACTCTGGACACTGTCTACTAACTTCTTGCTATGGTAGGGGGCTTTAATTCTGTCCTGGCCCATCTTCATTCCTCCATCTAAATAGAGGTAACCTCTGTGACCTTGAACAACATCCTTAAATTACCTCTCTTGTTCCATCAGTTTATAGATGGTCTTTTTGATACCTCTCTCAGTGCAGTCCAATATCTTTTCTCATTGACTTCTACCTACCAGCCTCATCAATGATAACTTTACACTAGCATTTATATTTTCTCCCATAACCACTTAACAATTTTATAAGCTTGTCTGTAATCTATTTAAAAGCTGAGTACCAGAAAACTGTGTTTTCATTAGTACGACCATATAGCTGTGTTTTCCTAAAGCATCAAGTGGCATATTAGCATTGTATCTCTTTCTTTATAGATCAGTATTATGGGCTTCCTGGTCTCTCCTTTACAATTCAAACAAGAATTTTATTGCTCTTGCTTTGAATTTCAGTGGATTTTTTCTTTTCATAACTTGCCAATGGTGTTTATCAGAACCTTGAATTCTTTAAACTCTAACTCATTCTATCACTTACATCATAGTCCCTTTTATCACAGACAACTGTCTTCCCAAGACTAGTTGAAGGTTTACAGTGAATATTAATAAAAACAGGAGTATAGAGTTATTAGCAGCAGGTACCTATTGTAAATTATTTTTATAAGTTCTCAGGTATACAAAAGGTACCATTATGTTAAAGCCCATTTTTCTTGATTACTATTATATCTTTTTCATCTAGCACAGCACCTAACTGTAGCATTTCATCAATTGTTGATGAGTAAATATTTGATGCATATTTCATAATGATTTATAACAATTAAAAAGTCATTTAGTTGTCTTGGTATTTAATATTGCACATAGTCTGCAGGGTCATTTGTTATAGAAAAATTTTAATAAATTATCTTTTTACTTTTCAAAATTTATCTGTATTTTTAATAATTATTTGAAAAAATATATTTCAATGTGCTAAAAAAACTTTAACATATCTGCTCAAACTGACTCACCCACAGGCAACATGATAAAAAGAAATAGTTTCCTGTGCAATTATGGAAAGAAAGTCTTTATACAGGACATATTACATTTTGTGGCTCTGTCCTGCTGCATTAATATAAAGCAAGTTATACTTGTAAAATGTTTGCAATTTTATGAACACAGTTCATAAGCATAAGCACAATTCAGAATTTTTCTTTTGGAACCATGGGTAGATGGCATGTAAGGGAAGGCCTATTGCTTCCTGCTCTGTAAAAAAAATGATATGGTCTGAATTCTTCCATAATTTCTCAGAATAATTTTAATCTGTCAGCTTTTACAATGTTTAAATATCAATTTTTAAGGAAGTGCATAAAAGTAATATATTTTATAGATGGTGGAGTAGACAGACATGGTTTGCCTCCTCATACAACGACATCACAATTACAACTAAAATATAGAACAACCATCAGAAATTGAGTTGAATTGAAGTCTGACAACCACAGAATTAAAAAGACCATATCTATCCAGACTGGTAGGAGGGGCAGAGACACAGAATAGCTGGTGCCACACCCATGTGTTGTGAATAAAATTTTGGGAGGGAAATCTTGGGAGTGAGGAATCTCAGCTATCCCCGTTCCCCCAGCCCAGGATTCCAGTGGCAGGAAGATAAGTTCCCAAAACTTTTGAGTGGCAAAAATCAATAGGGATTGAGTTGATGGAAGGAACTTCTGGAGTCCCAAGAAGTTCTTCCTAAATAGAAGCTTAAAAGGCACCAGTGGTACACAGGAAGAAACTGAAGTGTCTATCATCAAGATGAACAGAGGTCATTGTGCCTTTTCTGAACCCTCCCTCCACAGAGCCACAGAGACAGCAGGCAGGTACCATATCTGAGACTCCATCTAACTGACTAATACTGTTTGACCTGCCCTGGAGAACCCCAGAGATTCTATTCCACCCAACTTAAAGGTCCACTCAAGCTACTTTCCCATATGAATGTCTGCTCTTGGCTCATTCTTCACAACTTCCTAAATCTTATGAAACAAGCCACAGCCAGCCTCAGTGAGCCCCCTGCCCTCATACCTCTGTCTAAATAGCCCCAGACCTGGCACTAGCAACAACCACCCTGGATTAATAGCTTGCTTTGCCTGAGACTCTCTAAACCTAGCACAAATCTGAAATAGCAGCCATCTCAGATTGCTTTATAGCACAGGCAGAGCAAGCCTGGGCAAAATACAGGTGCGGGCTGACCTTGGCCTGCAACCTGGAAAGCCCCAGAACCTATATACCCAGTGGACAGCTACAGCCCAGATAGGAACCTTATCAACCTGTCCCTACACAGCTGATTCTCCACAGAGGGCAGATGTTGGTGGTCAGTGATCACATCCAGTCCTTACAACTGACTAACCCAGGTAAATACCTCCCATGGACCTGCCAACAGAAATCAAGACTCACCTCTAAGAGGAGGGAGTACTTAGTTCACAGGAAGGGTGCACCTCAAGCACCCAGTTTTGGTGATAGGGGAGGCTGTGGTACTTGACCCTGCAGGACACCTACTATATTAGGCCATGCTACCAAGATAGGGAGTCATAGTATCTCTATGTAATACATAGAAACAAACACAGGGAGGCTGTCAAAATGAGGAGACAAAGAAACAGGGCCCAAATGAAAGAACAGATCAAAACTCCAGGAAAAAACCTAAATGAAATGAGGATAAGCAATCGAAAACATACAGAGTTCAAAACGCTGGTTATAAGAATGCTCGAGGAACTTACTGAGGACCTCAACAGCATAAAAAAGATCTATTCAGAAATGAAGGATACCCTAATCAAAATCAAGAAAAATTGACAAGGAAACAACATTAGAGTGGATGAAGCCAAGAATCAAATCAATGATGTGGAATATAAGGAAGCAAAACAAAACCCAGCCAGAACAAAAGATGAAAAAAGAATCTACCCCTCAGCCCCCAAAAGAAAAAAAGGATGGTGTAAGCAGCCTCTGGAACAACATCCAGCAGTCCAGTATTTGCATCATAGGGTGCCAGAAAGAAAAGAGAAAGAGCAAGAAATTGGAAATCTGTTTGAAAAAATAATGAAAGAAAACTTCCCTAATTTGGTAAAAGAAATAGATGTGCAAGTCCAGGAAGCACAGAGAGTCCCAAACAAGATGAATGCAAAGAGGCTCGCTCTAAGATACATCACAATTAAAACATCAAAGGTTAAAGATAAAGA